CATTAAATAGAGGTGCATCTCTTCAAATTATCATGTATTAAACCAACCATTTAAGAATCATCTTTTCCTTTCATAAATAAATATGATCCAATTGTATTTATTGTTTTTCTTGACATAGTTATCTTACTCTGGTCATATTACCTTATACATTATATTTCTTATCTTTATTTACTAATTTATTTAATCCATTTCTATTTGTGTCAATAGATAATTTTCTCTACATTTATTTAAAAGTTTGTTTTAAGATTAAAAAATTGTGCATTATTAATAGCTTATGTTTATTTAAAAATTAAATAATTCTTTGTCTAAATATAAAATGAATTATACCTTCTAATTTCTCTTTAAGATCCATTACTAGCTTATCTGAGTTAGAGACATACAATTCTTCTTATGTATAACATTGTTACAATCAGATTGTCATTCATTAAAATTTATACATTTTGCTTATTTTTTTCAGATTAATTTTCCATTATAACATTTAATTTTAAAGTCATCTATAATATAATTGCTTAAAATAAATTAATGTTTAGCTTATTTACTTGCTTTTTTGGTTTTTCTTTTATCTATTTCCAGATTTTATAGGTCTTTAATTTCAAGTTATATAGCAAGAATGCTATTTTTGATGTTCTTACATATCTGAAAAATATACTTTCTTCACATATTAAAGGAAATTTTTCTATCATCTACTACATGTTTCTTCTCAGGTCTCTGCATGTATATTCACACATGTAATATACTCTGAAAGAAATTCACATACTATTGTCATATGTTCTCAATGCCTGGAGGAATTTTCATAATCTTCGTATTTCTATTTCTTCTGTAAATACATAAGAGTATGTTCTCCCAGATATTTAGTATAAAATATGAGAAACCTATACATTTGCTAACATGAATCATTTTTAGTCCAGAATATTTTCTGCTATAGTCTTTGATTGTGACCAAAAGATCTTATGAATTTACTTCTTCAGGGCATTTCTTATACTTAAATTTTCATTTTTATTCTCTGTCCAAATCTTTTAGTTTCTCAGTGCATTTTAAAATGTCTTTATCTTTTCACTCTAAGCTCTGAAGCAATGTGTAATTCTGTACAGCAAATAGCTAAATTTCCTGCTTTGTCATTTCTGTATTTTACTGTCTGTAATTGTTACATATTTGCTTCCTGAAATTATGCATTTTTATTTATATATCATTTGTGATTCACCTTGCTGAATTTTTCTTTTTTTAATTTTTAGTTTTAGTCTCTTAATAATTTAATAATATTACAGTTATCTTCTTACTTTTTACCCACTTTGGTTCCGGAAAATTTTTCTAATGTCTGAAATAGATCATTTTTAGAATTTTCTTTTTAGGGTTTCTTACTCCAAGGTTTATAAACACTGTTTTTAAAAGCCAAATATATATTTACTTAAACTATGATTTTACTCAAATGAGGCAAGATTCCATCTCCAGACTTAGTATTTACTAATGAACATAATTCTGAGTTATCAGAAGCTGGAAGTAATCACTGCTCTGTTGTTTGTGTACCTGAGATTCAAGTTGACTTGTATAGAACCCACGTGATTTGTACTTTGGGCAGGTATTAGTATATCATTCACTAACTAGTGGAGCATATAAAATGCTACTAATCTGGTACTACTTTATATGTCTGTTTGACCTAATGCACTTTAATTGTAGAAACCACACTTCTCATCCTGCAATGCAAACATTTCCAATTTACTGCTTTCTTGGCTTTTTAATTTGCTAAATCTGAGTGGGTATGAATAAATAGGAAGAGGACCAAGAAATGGAAGAAGGGTAAAGGGTGGGGAAAGGAAGGGGAAATAAAAAGAATTAAAATGTGTTATATACATGTACCAACTCCCCACAGGGAATGTAATCATTATGTACTGCAAATGTGTACTGACAAAAAATTAATTAATTAAAAAAGAAAAACCAAGACAGGAACTGCCTTCAGTATCCTCCCCAAAGCAGCACCGTATGAGCAGAATTTAGTTGGCATATGCTATGGGTCTCTGGGTTAATGAAATATACAACAGGCTTTTTTTTCTTATAGGGAGGATTCACTCAACAGCAAAGCCCAAGTAAAATTTTTCCAAATCAAATTTTATTGGTCTTACATTTTGTGGGATTCCTCAAAGATTCTAGTAGAATGCTTGTGTTTTTCTCTTAGGCATCAGTGTTTGTTAGTGAGTTTTTATTCTTTTACTTGTCTCTATAGGTTTTCTTAAGTTGGACTTCATGAGACTACATCTAGTTCTAAAGTTGAGGTTAATTTAAATAAATTTATATTTTGATATTTTTAGAAAAACATGCCTATGAAGTACGTACTGAAGCTATGCAAAATTACATGACCCAAAATGTACTTGGCTCTATTGATAATTACTAAATCTGTGAGCCATATCAACTAATACTTTACTAGTAATCTTACAAAAGTGAACTTTTAAATATTTCTAGTTTCTTAGTATAAATTTATGTTTTGTAACTTAGTATTAGTGTTATAAAAATCACTAACATAACATCCAAAATGGCACTGATAAGTAGGGTCACAAGTTCAAGACTCAGAGATTCCTAAATACCATCCCAGTGCTTCCCTATGCTCATATTCCTTCTCTGACATTCCAGCTATAGTACTAGTTGGGTTTACATTTTTCTAGAATTTTGTGTTAGTTGCATTTTTTTGTTGTTCATAGAAGTTTCAGCCCATAATTGGATGTATCTAAGGCAGGGTGGCATCACAGAGGAGAAAGAGCTCATGATGTGCAGAAGGTAGCAAAGCAACAAGTGAGGGCCACAGCTTTTTTATCCCTTATATCTTATCCAGGCTTTCTACCCCTTATACTTAGAAAAGGTAGCACTTACACCTTTAATCCTAGTGCCCTTGGTCCTCATATTGCACCATGAATCAACCCCAGCATCACACACTCTAAATCCAGCCACCTCTGAAAAAGTCCCACCTATGACTGCATGAGGCTTTCGGGGGGCCATCTAGACACAGCCATAACAGATTCCTTCATTCTAAAACTTTGATTCCTGCCAAAGAACTCGGGTTAAAACACTTAAACCTCTCACCATGCATTTATATCTTCAGCTGAGGGGAATAAAGATTTGAGAGCTGGGAAAGAGCAGAAGGATTAAGGGGTGAGGTTCTACCACCAAGATGAAAGGATGATACTATTTAGGCAGAAAATTCAGCAAACAGGAAGACAAAGATAAATCCTGAAAATAAGCTTTGCCTGCATCACAGTTTTGCACCTAGCTAACCCTTACTTGACTACACATTAGTTGCCAAATTATCTATTTTATGAAAAAGTAAAACAAAGTTTCATAACCAAATAAGAGAATAACAACATTTATTCATTTCTTCCAAGTAGTTACTCAGCATATAAGAGATAAACCAAAAAGATTCTTACAAAAAAATAGATCATAATATAAAACTTTCTTTTCAAGAAACTAAGATAAACTACTAAAATGAATAAATTAGCATGTACTGTATATTGAAATATTTCTAAAACAATCAAATATTTAATTTGAGAAAGTATTTGAACTTCTCCCTACTTCCTATTTATCTCTTCTATTTTACTCTCTCTCTTTATATATATAATAACTATATGCATAACTATAAACACATATATATATACGCACATACCCATTGTTTCTTATATGATCTCTTATCCACTATAAATCATGATATTATTCTATTAATAATGCCCAATGTGGAGATACAGGGTTTGATCAAACCATATCTGGAAAGTAGAATATAGTGACCATGCCCAATTATAAAATACAATTTTGAGATTTTTAAATGTTCTACTAGTCACAGCCTTCAACATGCATTTAGCTTTCTTGTTTGTTTGGTTTTTTGTTTGTTTGTTTGCAGTACTGGGGATTGAACCCAGGGCTTTTTCCCTGAGCTACATCCCAGCCTTTTTGGATTTTTTATTAAAAGAGAGTCTCTTTAAGTTGCCCAGACTGGGGTTGAACTTCTGATCCTCTTTCCTCAGCCTCTTAGAGTGCTAGAATTGCAAGTGTGCAGCATCAGGCCCAGCTCATTTTAGCTTTCTTTTTAAAATTTTAGCTTTCTTTCTTAAATTTTTAAAAAAATTTCTCTGAACCTTAATCTGCAAATGAAAAAATTTTTTGAAGGTCTATAGAGGAAAAAAAATTCTTGTTAAGTCCAAAAGTACAAGGACAGAAAATTTGTATTTTTTCTTTCTGCATTCTTCTCAGTCAGGAAAGTATTTGGCAAATAATAATTGCTCAGTAAATATTTGTTGATTCAATAAATCAATAAATGGATGATAAATTAATAAAGTCAGCATCAAAGGGTAGTATTAAGGCTACTGGACTTTGGGATATGCAGACTGGTGTGAATACAGAATTGAAAGGGACTTCATAATTGGATTCTTTTTGGGATGAGGCTTAATTGCTGTGTAATGTTTAATCTACAACTTTATCCCCGACTATGAGGTTTCTCCTAACCTACCCTGTCCTATCTGTAATCTGAGTGCTAAGAGGCTTTTTTAATGAGTATAATCAGTATAAACTTTGTCATAAATTCAAGTAGTAAATATAGTTGTCAGTACTTAATTTTTCCCAATTAATTATTCTGATACCCTATGTATTATATTAGTCAGAATATCTGCTGCTTTTCCTTCCTGAATTTCTGTTAAGCTCAGAGCGTATGAAGTATAAAATAGGAAGAACATCAGAGCCACAATCATTGGTCATTGCTATTGCTCTGTGCTGCCATGTGCTAAATGACACTTTCGACAGATGATAGCAGTCCACCTGGTGATAATTCCCTCTGGGCCACTGAGCAGGGCCTCTTGCCACGGTTCTACAGGGAGAGCAAGTAATTATATTCACTTGAGTCAGCTTGAGTAGCTATTCATTTACACAATCATGCTCAACTCTTTGAATCCCAAACCTACTTGCCATGATGACGTGATTTTTTTCCAGTATTTTCTACTGTTCTGAAACAGAACCTCTTATTTTTGCAGGGTTCACATCAAATCAGCAGCGACTGAGCTGACTGTCCTTTAAACCCACTGAATATAAGTTGTCTGATACCTTAAGGTATGTATATTCATATGTGTATCCACGTAAGTGCAAGTACTACATGCTTGAGCTTTCAGTTTTTGGATTTGTCTTAGTTTATGGCCATTCTCTTAGACTAAGAGGGGGAAAAAAAGGAAATAACACCATTGTACAGTGTTTTATCCTTACTTACATTTGTACTTGTAGGATATTTTGATAGGCAATATTCAAAATACAAATATCTCCAGCTCTAACTCTTGACTAGTTTTTATTAATAATGCAGAACTGTTTTCTTCTGGAAGAGGGTGAAATAATTGCAAAGACTTTCTTCAATTACATTGTCCCATATGTTATAAGATAAGTTATACGAGCATATGTGTTTCATTATGAACAGAAGCACATCAAGAAGAGAATAAGATATTTGGATACTTTCACTGTTGCCCTCTCTTCTCCAACCCCATCAAAACCCTTGAAGTCCTGGGAAATTTGGATGATAATCACCTGTGAATCCTCTCACATAAAATTTCCAGTAGTTTTTGAAGTTAATACAACCAAAAATGCCAATAGAACAGACTTTGCTATATTACAGAACATCTGGTTCTGATTCTGGCATGAGAAAATGAACAGTAATGGAAACCAATTGCCAGGGTATTTTTTTCAAGGTTCTTTTTTAGAAATGGGCAGAGATTCAATGGGCATCGATTCCAGGAATTGCTCATTCCCTCCCCATTTTGGGTTCTATAGCTCTTTCAATTATGCACAAATCCAGATTTATATGCAGCCATATCTTCTTTTATTTGTACAGCAAATCTTCACTTCACTGGTAATTTCTGATCTATAAGGTGGTACACTTGCAAAAGAGTCATCATGATAAATCTTTCAAGTAACAGGATTATAGTTATTAATTAGAATGTGTTTTGCATTTACTATTTAAAAATAAGTAGTAGGTGTTCATGAAATGTCAGGGACACTGGTCCCTTTTACTATATTCATATTTCTCAGAGCTTATAAATCTATAAGAGATCTCATGTTTCTCAGAAACATTTTCTAAAGGTAATATATACTATAATGTTGGCTGTTAAAAAAGGAATTTTTAAACTCAACATTAAAAATGAGATAATAAGTGTGTAGTTATCCACATATAACAAAAGTAATTTTATATGAAAGATCACCTTTTAGATATTTTAATGAAAAGGAATAAATTTGCTTATGTGTTTAATATGGGAATATGTATGAATAAGCTACATCTCTAGAGAAGTATAAGAGGTATAATCAGGCACAAGGTGTTTGCTAAGGATGCTTTACAATTTTGTTTTATTTGAAATTAAAACCAAAAAGTGGTCAGATGTTTGTGATTCTGCTAGCAAAAAAATAATATTTTCATTTACCCCCTCCTGCCCTGTAATCAAAGTATATTTCTTTTTAAAAAATGAAATTTTAGATACTCTGGACAGAGAAATGTGGCTCTATGGAAACAAAAAAGAATGGAATGAAAGAAATTGTATCAGACAGTGAAATGGGGATGAAAAAAGCCAAGAATTCAGAAAATTAAAATTAAGTACTCCTAGAGCAGTCTATAGCATTAAAAATATTTTGTTATTAAACTGATATCATATTCCTATCACATTTATACCATTTCACTGCTCCCATGATTCATGTTACTGAAGATTTCTGATCTAGAGATTCAATTCTAATAACCCCCCCCAAAGCATTTCTCTGTAACACTTTTAAAACTTTTAGTCTTAAGAGAACAGATATCCTAGAAGTAGAATAAAATGTTAAGAAAGTTAAAGATTAGGAATCTTTTCAAGTTTTCCGAGCGTAATGGTGAACTCCGTCCTTGAGCTTCCGGTCTGGGGGCTTCCTGTTAGTAAAATGGGCTTCGGATGTATGGTGCCGCTTTTTTCCCAATACCGTGTTTGCCCAAGGACCAACGCAATTCTACTTTTCTCATATCGGCAAATTCCCTAGGGATGAAGAAAAATTTGCACTAAATCCTTCACAACATTAAGTCCTGTGTAACCAAAATTAAACCTACACAAAATATTTTTCAACGTTTTCAGCACTCCCTGTTATCCCTCCATATGTTCAGTGTTTGTTTTTTGTGCTGAACAAATAAAAAGGGGGAGCTTGTGTTAAGAGAAGCATGTTAGAGTTAGTGAGGTACTAAATGTCTATCAAAGTCATTCTCAGTTTTGGTGCAAACATAAATGTAAAATTTAATTAAATGTATATTCGATATCATAGCATGTAAAATGTATGCACTGCAAAGGATTAGCCAGGCTACGATCTGTCAGGTAAATACATATTTTGATGCATGCCCAACCCCCCAATACAATTTGGAAACCATTTGGGAAGGTCTTGAGTAAATGTTCTTGATATTTAAAATATGCTCTGCCTTACCATATGTTTGAAGAATTGTGAATATTGGCCAGTTTCTCTTTGCGAACAGTTGCAGTGTGAGAACTGACTTTTAGAAATTCCTCACCTCAGGATAGTGTGTCGAGGATCATTTGAATTCTGTGTGTATGAACTACATGTTTTTTTAAGTTTTGAAGGATTAGTAGCAGGGCAGGGGGGTCAGTTTAAATATAAGGACTAAGAGGCAAAATTGATTGCAAAGAGCAATGGAAATGGCAATGTCATAGACATTGAGCAGGGGCACAGAGACACCCTCCTTCGTTAACAGCTGCCACAGTTCTTCTGTGTCTGGACCACTGCAAGATGAGTAAAGGCACGGTTCTAGAAGACACATCCAATGAGGGAGAGAGCACACCAAAGGGGCAGCTGAAAATTGGCACCTCTGCATGATACAGAGTCGAGAGCTGTGCAGCGCCCCATAAGATCTTCAGAGCCAAATCAGTTACTTTTACACCATAAATCTGTCTCTTTGTAATTGGTAGTGCTGGGTAAGCTGCTTAGCCTCTCAGATCTTTAGGTTCATCATCTATAACACAAAGTTAATAAAATCTACCTATAAAGCCATGGAAAGGATGAATGAGCTAACAAGTATATGTATCTAGCACATACTGTGCTACTTTTTCAATAAAAACACTTCTCCCTTTGCATATTTTCTTGCATGATTTTGTCCATGCTCAAGGTTTAAACTAAGATATATACTGATAACTACCAAATCTATAATACTAACCTAGACATCGCTGCCATATTTCAGGCTCATACAGTCCCCCTTGTCTCTCAACGGGACTCACACAATCTCCCTGACATCTCCATTTGCTATGGTTTAGATCTAAAACATTTGTCAAAAGTTTCATGTGATCAAGGGTGTGACTTTTGAAAGGTAATTGGATCATGAGGGTGCTGTATTAAACAGTGGATTAATCCATTGATGAGTTCATCGCTAAATATGCTGTTAGGAGTTAAGACCTCATTTGTAGAGGTAAGTCACTGGGAGCATGACCTGGAAGGGTGCATTCTTGTCCCCAGTTCATTCTTTCTGTTTTCTGGCCAGCATGTGGTGAACAATTTTGTTCTACCATGCCCTTCTGTCACGATGTTTCTGCCTTGGAGCCAGATGGCAATAGACTGAACTCTCTGAAACCATGAGCCAAATTAAACCTCTGCTTCTTTAAGTTGCAGTGTCATGCATTTTATCCCAGTATTCTCCAATACATTTGGCAAAGCAGTCTATCTAAAATCCAAACCTAGATGGTCCTATCCTTTTTGAAAAGCCTACAGTCAGGCCCCATCACCTACAGTATGGATCTGCTGTCTTTGATCTAAGGGCTACAAAATAGATGATGTAACTAAATTGTATGTACCCTATATTCACTTTTTAATCTGGACCTTCCAAAACAATTTGCCAACATGGCATACTCCAAATTCAGATTCCCACATGGGTCTCCTCATCATGCCATTGTTTTTCCATACTTTCAGCCACACTGAACCACAAATATATTGTTTAACCATACAGAATTGGTAAGTTCATGTCTTTATGTTATGGTACATCCAGTGGGTTCTGTCACAAACGTCTTTTATCTTCACCTGACCAATACCTACCTACGCATTCTTCCATTTTCACATCATGCCTCACATGTTTCAGGAATCCTTTCTTAAATACCTGTCTTACCCACAGAGTTAATTCTTTCCTTGTGCAAACCCATAATCCGTAGTGAATTCTTTCATCCTTTCAGGCTACTAAAACCAAAGTATTATAAAATTAGTAGCTTATAAGCAATAATTTTAGTTCCTATTATTGTAGAATCTGGGAAGTTTAAAATCAAGATACCAACAGATTTGGTGTCTGGTAAGGTAACACTTCCTCATAGATGGAATCTTCTATCTGTGTCCTCATGTAGCAGGAAGGACAAACAAAATCCTTTGGGCCTTTTTGTGTAAGGGCATTGATTCTATTCATGAGGACTCCACCCTGATGACCCAATCACTCCCCAAAGGTCCTATCCCTTAACACAATAGAGCTTTCAATGATACAAACAGCCCACTGCAGCACACATGCCATAGGTTTGACATCACTGCACTATTGCTTTAGAGGTCAAGCTTCAACATACACATTTTTAAAGAACATAATCATTTAGACTATGGCATTCCACCCTGCTCCCACCATTCACATCTTTCTCACATGTAAAATCATTTTTTCCAACCCAGTATCTCCCAAAATATTAATTCATTCCAGCAACAACCCAAAAGTCCAGAGTATCACCTAAATATCATCTAAATCAGATATAAGTGGGATTCAAGGTAGAGTTTATCCTGGATAAAATTGTTCTACAGCTGTGAACCTGTGGAATAAATCATTTTATGTGCTTTAAAATTTCAGTGGTGGAACAGGCATAGGATAAATATTACCACTGCAAAATGGAGAAATACAAAAGAAGAAAGGAATAATGGGTTTCAAATAAAGCTAAAACCCAAATAAGCAAACAACATTTAACCTTAAAACATAAAAACTAATATCTTTAACTAAATGTCCTGCTTTTCAGATACTGGGGGAGAGGTTGGTCCCCCAAAACTCTGGGAAGTCCTACCCTCAAGGCTTTTTTGGGATCAGCACTAGTGTCCTG